CTTTTATTGAATTTTATCCCTACCCCTTAACTTCTATGTCATTTGGTCCCTTGTAGGAGTTGTCTCATTGGCACTCATGCTACATCTTCTTATTCTTACAGTTACTGCAGGGTTTGTTACTCGTTCTGTGTGGATGTAGTAGAGTGTGTCCCCGTGCCTGTAGTGTATGCCCGTATATTTTACAGTTAGGGTTTTTTGCTTGTGAAAGAGCTGTCTACATATTCCATTATATAAATTTTATATATTTCTTTTACTGTATGTTATCCCTGCCCCCTTCTATGGTTAACTTCTATGTCATTTGGTTTCTTGTTGAGAGTTGTCTCATTGGCAATCATTACACATCTTCTTATTTTTATATTTATCGAAGGGTTTGTTACTAATGCTGTGTTGTTGCAGTATAATGTGTCCCCGTGCCTTTTAGTGTATGCCCTTATATTTTACAGTTAAGTTTGTTTTGCTTGTGAGAGAATTGTCTACATATTCCATTATATAAATGTTCTATTTCTTTTACTGTATGTTATCCCTGCTCCCTTCTATGGCTAACTTCTATTTCATTTGGTCTCTTGTTGAGAATTGTCTCAATGGCAATCATTACACATCTTCTTATTTTTATATTTACTGCAGGGTTTGTTACTAATGTTGTGTGAATGCAGTGAATACAAGAGGGAACAATAAACAACATCATATCAAATTATAAGCGCAGTTACTGAAAGAAACTTCAAAGTAGCTTATTTGCTAATATGAAATGATACTGTCCACCAGTCTTATATCGATGGATTTATGTTTCATGTAAAAACACCAAAGATAGTACAGAAGGATACGATCCTGTAATATTGTCAATAAAATAAATCTATGCTGATCCAGGGCAAGTTACTGTCAGAAATTCGAAGTTTTTCTAAAATATTTCGAACAGGAACTCCGTTTACAAATATTCTTTGTAACATTTAAATGGACATCAAAAGTTAGGATTAACACCACACTAGGCTCGAACTTTAAATTTTCGTACGCACAACGGAAGCCTGGCAAATGCTGTGGCGATTTTGTGTGAAACATTTTGGATACGAAGACCAGTTGCCGCCATTTAAGATTCTTGCCTTTAAATAATAGAAATTCCCACTTGATCTGAATGTAAACCTCGTATTTAGATATTTGGTGGTAAGGAGAGGAGGAACCATACATATTTTCATTTCGTTTGTAGATCCTGAAGCTCTTATTCCTGTTGCTAAATCTGAAGTTTTAAAGAAAAAGGCATGTATGTGTCTTGTTCGGATCATACGAAACAAAGTTTTTAAACATGGAAGTTGTCAGCAGATAATAGCAAAACGGCGTCTTTACCCTACGCCTCCATTTTTGACGGTGACCTTCTTCGATAAATAACATGTAATATAAAGTATTTTGATTTGATTGAATCGTCTAATTTTTAAGAAAATAAAATTGTCTTCCATATTAAGGTCGCTAAAAGTTTCAGAGATATCACAAGCTTTTAAAACAATCATATCTTAATTCTGAATAAAAATCGCACATTAACAAAATATTTTTTACATCTTCAACATAGTTCTTAGTATAGTATATGTATATACAAGTACGCCCTTGTAAAAAAATGATTTTCTGGTGTAGCTACCGATTTTAACTGCACGTGATTAACATTCCCTTATAACGTTTACAAAACTCGTTTGTGCTGCATATACAAATGAGAGGTTTAGCTAGCTATAAAACCAGGTTTAATCCACCATTTTCTGCATAAGGAAATGCCTATACCAAGTCAGGAATATGACAATTGTTTTCCATTCGTTTGATGTGTTTGAGCTTTTGATTTTGCCATTTGATAAGGGACTTTCCGATTTGAATTTTTCTAGGAGTTCGGTATTTTTGTTATTCTACTTTTTACAAACTAGTTTTACATAAACAATATATCTAAAACATTTTGCTTTCTCTCTATAAATACGTTACTTATAACTATTACCTTGAATAACCTGGTTAGTGTGTGTTGCTGCTTGTTCATATTTTTCGTCTATACAACATTTTGTCACTCTGTTGAATATGAAGCTTGTACTATGATGTGCGATTATTCATAGTTTAAAAGCAATTATATGTTTATCTATATTGCGGTTAGCTTGTATTGTTGGTTTTAACTCTGATATTCTTTTATTCATATTACATCAAATATACACAATGTTATGGTCGTACTAAAAGCTGAAGCGATAACATAATTCATAACATACCTTTTTTAAATTATCCCTTGATAAGTTGATAGATTAAAACTAAGGTTCCAACTCGTTCGGGCAAAGTTGACCTTAGATGGATTAGGTATTTCTTTATATGTTCAGTTGGATATATAATATCTCTACAAGTCTCCAAGTATCTATACATCCTTGAATTTCGAAAGATCATAGTGAAGGTTAATCCAAAATTTACGCAAGCAAAATTGACCTCAGGCGTATCATGCTTTTCTTTATAGGCCGCCTTTGGCAATAAAGGTCCTTTAATGTTAAAGTATTCATACGTCATCTCCTTTCATAGCATTGGATTTGGGCGTTCCTGATGAAGGCAAATCCAGATAACCGCTTTAGACGCACTAGCGTTTTATAAAGTTATTTTCATTGACACAAAAAGCGTATACGTGTTTCGTTATTCCCCTTTTTGAATTTATTTTGGAGTTCGGTATTTCTTTGTTAACACTTTGTTTCTACCTTAAAAAACTATATCGTAATGTACATGTACTATTACCAAGGTTTTCTTTTTTTATTTAATCTATTATTTTCTGTGATATAAATTATGTTTCCGCAACTTGGTCAAAAGTAAAATCACAAAAATACTGAACGCCGAGGAAAATTCAAAACGGAAAGTCCCTAATCAAATGGCAAAATCATGATAAAACACATCAAACGAATGGACAACAACTGTCATATTCCTGACTTGGTACAGGCATTTTCAAATGTAGAAAATGGTGGATTGAACCTGGTTTTATAGCGCTAAACCTCTCACTTGTACGACAGTCGCATCAAATTCCATTATATTGACAACGATGCGTGAACATAATGTCACAAATAGGGGTACAACAACAACACGAACCCCACCAAAAACTGAGATTGATTTCAGGTGCTCCGGAAGCGTAAGCAGATCCTGCTCCACATGTGGCACCCGTCGTCTTCATGTTATTACAAAGCCGGTAAATAGTCTAATTCGGTAGGTCACATTCGTGAAAAGGGAACGGGATTGTAGTTACGACATAAGAAACATATCCGATATCATCTGTATAACGGATATTCTATAACGGTCAACTAACTCGTGATTGCGTTCGTAAAATTTACGAAGTGATGCTTTCAACTTCACCATTTGGAACTTTTGGTTTAAAAATGAAAAGGTCACAATTGGGAAGCTGAAATCATCTCCTTTGTCGTAAAGTTTTGTTTTCAACCAACCTTCATAGTCAATTTCTAGATATAAGTCCTAATCAAATGGCAGAATCCAAAGCTTAAACACATCAAACGAATGGATTACAACTGTCATATTCCTGACTTGGTACAGGCTTTTTCTCATGTAGAAAATGGTGGATTGAACCTGGTAAATATTGTGACAAAAAAGATACAAATTGTTGGATCGAATATAAATGTGTAATTTCATACCATTTTTAAGCATTTTATATTTTATTATTGTTTCATCGTTTACAAATGCATATGAAGATAATATAATGACATTATTGATCATTATTGTTTAAGTACGATTTTCCGTTTGGAAGATCACAGTTATAATGGATTTACCGGAAAATATTTTGAAAAAATGAAATAAAACTTGTAAATTTCGTAAACAAAGGTTTATTAATTGCCCCATTAAATTTGAAATCCAGAGTACTCTGAGGAGAAAAACACGAATTTTCATATATATTGACGGACTTTAAAAATTCAACTCTAAATTATTGTATTGAATTCTCATTTTCAAATATGCAATTTTTGTAAATAGATGTATAAACATAAATTTCATTCATTACTTGGTTGTTTAAAAAGTTTGCAGTTGAATTGATTACATCAAGTTTAATGCTCAAATCATGTAGTATGCACTGAAACCCTGGTTTTCCTCTTATCAATGGATGTTTCACCGTCGAAGGCAATGACTGCCTGTAACCAACGCCATACTTAACAATAAACAATGCATGGAATCGTTTGGAAGAATCAACATTTTGAGCAAACATGTACTTTAGGATTGGACACTATGTAATTAACCATCGAGATTGGCATTCACAGATATATATAAATGATACATGTATAAATATACAGGTAGGCACGTTCAATAGTGCAATGACGATTTTTCAAGTTCCGTTTGATTTCATATCGTAGACAAAAAAATAATTCAAATCATCATTTTACCAGTTATGGTATAAGAATGATTTTTTTAACGGTCCGATCAGACAAAGAAACCTGTCTTTCTGCTAGCTTCTCATTAATCCTCTCTCTCTCTCTCTCTCTCTCTCTCTCTCTCTCTCTCTCTCTCACGGATGAACGAACGAGCGAAGTGAAAAGGTAAATTTTTGAGTTATTGGATTGGTGTTTTATTTACGTATACTCGATATCTCCTTTACTAATTTACCAATGTAAGAGCGGCTATACAAGTCTTACGCTTAACAAAAACTAACACTAACCCTTTGATTGATATATTTAACCTCTTTGACTACTCTGTATAAATTCTATCGGTTCAAGGGTAATACAATGTACTATACTTCAGGTGTTGAACTAAATTAGTTTATCTGTGGATTTTATGGGGTTCGCAACTCTCAATCTTTAGTTATCTGTGTTGTTTTAGGACTGCTATTTGCCTGCTTGTCTTTGATTTTGTAATGTACATGTAGTTGTCTGTTTTTCTTCGATTTATCGATTATGATTGCCTGCTCTCTTCTCTTGGCAACCATTTTTATTATAGTAGTAAACAAAATACAAAAATTTACCACGTGACTCTATAGTGCTCTTGAACAACAGGGACATCCTGTTCTCTTTTATCAACGACAAACCATCAATTGATGGGTATTTTAAAGTACCAATCCACATTAGTATGTTTCCGAATAATTATGTTTCGTGTTAATGTATATGCGTGTTGGAACGGAAAGCGAAATTTCAACCATGTTTCTACAATTGATGATGCTCTGCATAATTTACAGTACCCACGGTAAGCCATGGTCAAATATGACGTTTATTGAATAAATAATCATATTATGTATTGAATTTATATGAGTATTACATGAACCAAAAACTTGTTTTACCACACTCAGTCTGTGACTTTAAATTGTGAATTGTTTATTGATATAATGCATGTATGTTTATATATCTATCCTCAAAACTTAAATAAAAGATATTAGTTGTAAAATTGAAAATTTTAGCAAGATATTAGACCTACTTAAAATTAAATCAATACACAGGAGTTTTATTATTCTTGATTTTTGTGAGTTTTCAAAATGGTGTTAAGGTTACTTCGGTCTTTAATATCGACTACTAGTATTCAGCTCGTTTTACGGAAGTTATCTAATTATTATTATTATAGTTTGAAACAATTATTCAAAATGCATGCACATTGTATTCAGTCGTTCTTAAATTCTCGGTGAATAGTTTAGTACAGTTACAATTACAAATGGACACATCGGGTGTAAGTTAACTAAACAACAACCAAACGATCAAAGCAAATTCTAAAAGACGATTTTCAAGGATATTTCACAGATTGTTTTTCTGTGTAATATTTATACTTTATCGTAAGCCCGCTTTACAAACAGGATTATATTTATTCTTTTATATTTTATTATGTGATACCTATACATCTATTTACTGCTCGATAAAAAAAATTTGCAATTCTTTTTTTTTTCTGAATCATTTAATATTAAGAAAAAATATAGTTAAATTTCCCTCATAGAATTAATTCAAAGAATCGATAGTGAATTATAATTATAGTGAATATCAGTAAAAGTCTATGGTGTTATACCATCGGATGTAATTATTTCATTCAGATTAATCGATATTTGTGTCAGGTTTCTTTTATTGCTCATTTTTGTTCGTATTACGTTCTTATGTCGTATATAGATATCTATATCCTTCCACGTCTTACTCATCCACCACTGATTCAACAAAGGTATAGGTGCACAACTTAACGTACCAGTTTATACTATATAGCCATTCTTCAAAGTTGGGTTATTTACAGATTGTTGTTAGAAACTAAGTGACTTCAGACATATCCATACATAATTAATAAGCTGTTACAAGTGTTCTAGACATTGAACGAGATGGTGCATTCCTGTTCTGTGTATGACTATGCTGAAATATCTATACTAATAAATTTTTAGACCAACATTTTTTAGCCGGTTTGTCTCCAATCTGTTTCTATACAATGAATAGATTTTGCATATTGTGATCTATAGCCTAAAGCTATCCCAACTGATCTAAAGCTAGTAAATTTGTTCCTGTTTTTATAATGAAAGGTAAAATCTTCAAAATTAATTTCATCTAAATCGTCCTGTTTTGTTTCAGTAAGACATAATGAATTATTAAATTTTAATAAATCCCTAAATTCTGAGAAATGTTTTAATCATCAGTGTTCTAGATTGTCTTCATCTTCTCTGAGTTATTTCCTCCGTTCTAGGAGCACCTGTGTAACACCGAGACAGAAGCTACTAATTGGACATTCAAACTCCTATGGAAGAAGAACTGACAAACTAATCAAAACTATCAACATAATACATCAATGCATAAAAACAGTTTAAGAAACACGAACCGAAGACTTGTATCACCATAAACATTTCAAGTAGTCTTCAAGCCGCGTTCGCGCGGGTTTTTTCATGTATACCCTCAAGTACATCAATCGGTATATGAGTGTAGAAGAGCATTAGTTTTACATCATTAGATCTAGTATTTTTAGCAGTCGTTCAGTAATTGCTAGCATTCTTTGATACGGTATCGAGTATTTTCTTTATTTTTTTAACCGCCTCGGTGGTCTTGTGGTAACGTGTTCGCCTCCAGGGGCGGGAGGTCGTGGATTCGAACCCGCTGGGTCAAACTAAAGACTTTTAAATTGGCATTTGCAGCTTCTCTGGCAAACATGCGGCATTAAGGAGCAAAATCAAAGACTGGTCGGATCGGAGTCAGCATAATGTGTTCGGGTAAGGTGGCATGTCTTCCTTCTCTCAAGGTAACAGTCCATTACCTTGAGAGCTAGCACGTTAAAAATCCGGCTCAGCGTGTCGGTCTAGTACAAAGCAGGGTAAATATTCATATTACATTAACACGTTCTCGTCCTGAATATGTATATTTATTTGCCGCAGGACGTTAAGCAGCTATCCATCATCATCATCATTTGTGTTTGTTATCTTTTTCATCGTTGTAAGAGATTTAATGGTTTTGTTGAACTGGTTTTTATAGTTCTTTTTCATGTTTGTACTCTTTTTAAGTAAACTGATCGAAATTTAACATGTTTAAAAAAGAACGGTTGACGATTTCTGTTTTATTTGAATCCTTGTTCATAAACATTATAATCTCCAAGGTTAGGAACCTAACCAGTGGTTGTCTTTAGTCATATCAGAATAATCTTTTTTTTTTCATTTTGAGAATTTTGCGTTTGTTTTTTTTTCGCAGATCTTTCATAGTCTCAGTTGAAATTGAATATATTGCATAGACATCTTTTGATGAAAGAATTATGCTGATCTCGAAATGTCTGTTGTGCTGTTCGGTTGTTTTCTCATTGCTACATACCACAAATATCCATTTATTAATATAGCTTTGATTATTTCTATTAGTTCTTTTGCCTGTCTCGTTTATTGCGGTATTCTGCTTAATATACAGTAAAATAGTATTATCTTTAATTTACTGCTTTTTAAGATTCTGTCTCGATTACGGTTGTAGAATTGAGTCTTTGTATGAAATATAGCCCAAAAATTGAAGCAGAGATATTCTCTGCAAAATGAATCTTTTGTTCCATATTTCTCTTATTATATAACTAACTTAGTTCATCTCATCATAATCTAACCTTATAATTCCTGTTTCAATATTTAGCCCAGAAATCGTGGCAGACAGTGTGCAAGCACAATGCGACTGGATCTTATTATTATTGTGGGATAATGAAAGAGTGTTGTTACATCAATGGTAAATTAAAATGCCTGGGCACAATTGGTGAATTTGGCAGTTGGTACATCCCTCGAAAATGTAATGTTTATAAAAGGTTCGTGTAAAATCCCTAAATCTTATTTTTATAATAAGATCTTTCTGTCATCATCATCATCGAACTAACTTTTTAATTTGTTTTTCGTGTAATTTATTTAGACTTCGTCTATCATTTAATTATTTTGTGGTGTACTTGTTAGTTTCGCAAAATTTCAATCAGATATTTTATTTTACGATTTCGAATGTAATGCATTTTCAAAACTCACTGCTTATTTGATAATTTTTTTTTGTAAAAGTTTATTTTTCACCAAGGCAAGGTGTGTAACTCAGGGTTGTCGGTGATTGCTGTCTGCCTTCTTCATTTTCATTTATTGTTTTAAAAATAGGTTAGGACGTTTGTATCTCTTTTGAATAGTTTTACATTAAGTCATGATTTTAATATCTTAAAAGCTTACTTTACGGCTTTGCTCATTGTTAAAGGCAGTCAGTTGTTCGTACATTCGTCCGTTAGTTTATGGTGGACTGATGTCTCATTGCCAATCATACTCATTTCCTCCTTTTTGAAATATAGAAAAATAGTATTAAATGTGCCGCAGAAAGGTTAGCATATTATATTTCAAAGTAATTAATAGTTCCCAATCGCCAGGAAACACACCATTTAAATCATGGTCTGGTTGTTAAATTCGACGTGGTGTCCGATATGAATGCTACGTACTTTTTGTTACATGAACATGAACGTGTGTTCACTTTTATTTGTTGCTTTAAGATTACTGACAGCTACAACGGCACCTAAGTTGAGAACAACCTTTCGATTGAATGGACATAAACGTTTTCATTTATGATAACACAACCATGCAAAAATAAGTTCTTTTATTCCTATTCCAATCTATAATACATAACAAATAAATTGGCCTAGATAAAGGATGTGTGAAGGATTTTGTCTCTGAAATAATTCACCATATCTCTCCTTTTCCATTACGTATCATTCAGTAAAATAATTTTACATAATATCTCATTAAAGCTGTTTTAAGTTTTTTGTAGGCGGTATTGAATTTTGAGCATTATTGCAATATAAATTGTATAAGCATATATAGTTACGACATGTAAGCTGTGAATTTTACGTTAAATAATCGCCAAAAAAAAAAGAGTAACATAAAAATAACATTACAAATAACGTGTATGCGCATATACGAATACACACATTTGCCGAACTTTGTACTTTATTTCTATTTGATTCCAAGGAAAATTGTTTTCCTCGTGTTGTTGATTTAGATGTGGACTTATTTCAATGGTAACAATGTGCAGTAAAGTGACAATAACGGATGTGGTAACAATGTGCAATAAAGTGACAATAACGGAAGTGGTCAATCTTTTATAAAGGCAGCAACAACACCTTGAAAAGCAAAATCATTGTTGTTTTGTTGCGAGTGATCTCAAAATGACAATTTAGATTCCATCACAGATATATATTTTTGTATTAAAAGTAATGTTTTAGAATTTCTGAGCAAAATTTAAACTTGAGACATTTTTTTTCTCAATGCTTTATAATATTTTTTTAACTACTGAATTTGTGTCATATCGGTTTTAAAAACTTAGAAGGATGAAAGATATCGAAGACGAAGCTGCAATATCTGATTTCGTTCTCCTTTTTAATGAAATTTATATTAGTATTGCCAAAGGCTCATAAGTGTTCGTATTCACCACAACTTTCCACCAAAGACCACACGTCAGGACAAAATATAACATGTTTACTTATCTTAAAAACTTTGATATTTAATATTGTCTACTTCAATGGAAACACATTGGACTACTAGTTACTGCAAACAAGTATTAGTTAAATAAATCCCCTTACATATCCGAACATTAAATTCGTCTTTCAAAATGTAAACACGTAACTGCACCATAATTGTATTTGAAGGTCCACATCTTATTACAAGACCACGACACCACGACATCTGATGAAGACAACTACTTTACCAGCCTACATCAAGACAACATACAACCGACGACGAAGAACTAGAAACATGAACAGGATGACCATTCGTCGAATTGGGTAAATATATTTGCAAAACCAGCTGTTGAATTTATGTGAGGAACATATAATATCCGAAAACGCCAGTGATAGAAAAGATCATTGATGTTTGGAAACAATGATTTGTCGTAATCAAAAACATATATATTCGGACTATGAATATGTAGTTAAACATTGGCAAACAAATTTTTAGTTCAATTTTCGACTGGCTTTCCTTCTTTTAATCTGATTTTTCTTTTAGTACAAAGAGAAAAATGTGGTATGAGTACCTATAAGACAACTCTCCATCCAAGGCACAATGTATAAAAGGTTAACAATTGTAGGTCAAAGTACGGCCTTCAACACGGAGCCTTGGCTCACACCGAACACCAAGCTATAAAGGGCCACAAAATGACTAGTATAAAACAATTAAAACAGGAAAACCAACGGTATAATCTATATATAAAACGAGAAACAAAAAGCACATATGAACCACAACAACAACGACAACCACTGAACAACAGATTCCTGACTTAGGACAGTCGCATACAAATGCAGCTGGTTTAAATGTTTAAACTGACGCCAACCTTAACCCTAACTTGAGACAGTAGTGTAACATTACAATATAAAAAGACACACTATATAATATTAATTGAACTCTCACCTGGTACAAAATGGCGTTAAATAAAACAACGTACACAGATACATTTAAATATAATATTTTTGTCGTTAGGAGTACGAAAGTAAACATTTTTTACAAACTTCATAAATGTGTTGTTCAGATTACAAGTACAGAAGTAAAAACGTATCGTCATACTTAATACTTATCAAAGGTGGTACACATAAAAAATAGTGAGACAAGATTTAAAACAAAATAAGTAAACATTAAAAATACAGAAATGCATTAAAAATTGTATCAACAGGTCAAATAAACACGAACGTACGATTTGACAGTACTCGCAGTAACTGAAAGATAATTAAAAGCCAAAAACAATTAACAATTACAAAATCATGCATCAGAGACTAAAATCAATTAAAACACATCCCAGGGATTAAGTGTTTTAACGTCTTTGACATTAAAAAAAGACTTAGTTTTTAATTAATTTGTTTGGTTATTTTTTCAACTCTCATCGAAATGTTGAATTTCAAATCGTTTTTGACAAACAAATATAAAAGACAGGCAATCAAAAAGCTATGCCGTATGAAACATCGAATTAAAGTATACATTTTTTTACTTCTTCACTAGACCCATTATATCTGTAATACCATAATCAGGACGAAACATGCGATATCAATATTAACCGAGATATTTACTAAAAACTTACAATTTCTGTTGGAATTTGAACGGGGTAGGTTTTAAAAGAAGTTTTTACATGGAGACATGCATTTATACTTAATCACATACAACGTACTATCATGTATTTAATTGCTCACTGACAAAACCTAACCTCAATAATATATGCGACGAATATTTCATAAATGTGTTTGATTTTAAAGAAAAGTTTTCAAAAACCAGAAAGCAAAACATCGAAGGAACTGAAAACGTGTCACTTGGTATTACACAATCAGACACAGTTTGATACATGTGTAAAAGAGAGGCAAAAGATACCAAGGGACATTCAAGCTCATAAGTTAATAATAAACTTAGAAAACAAATGACAGAGCAACACGATCCCCACCTTAAATTGCGGGTGATCTTATGTGCTCCGGAAGAGTAAGCAGGCCCTGCACCACATGTGGCACCCGTAGTGATGCTCATATTAGGATTATGTACAAACCCGGTAATAAGTTTAATTTGGTAGGTCACATTTGGGGAAAGGGGAACGGGATTGTAGTTTGTTGTTGGCAATTGGAACATATTCGCTATCATAAGTGAAACCGATATTCTATAACGGTCAACCAAATCGTGATAGCGTCCATAAAATGTACAAAGGATTGACTTCAACATCACCACTTAAAACTCTTGGTTTTATAGCTTCCTGGTGAGCAACAACCCTCTATCAAAGGAATCGCGGAAGGAAATACAAGCCCTGGAATATCGTATCAACTGGGAGATATATACTCCAATGACTTTTAAAAATGCTAAATTGACGCACGGACGAACAGACAACTTAGTATCACAACCCAGTAGTCAGCACTTCTGTGTTGACATGAGCTATCATTGATATTGTCATAATTATAAATCAACTGTTTAGAAAACTTTGAATTAGACGAAATATTTAGGATTACTACCAGGAATATATTATTCAAGCTGCACTTGGCAAAACCGTTCTGAATTTTTAGTCGTCAGTGCTGTTCAAATTCGTATTATTTTGGGGGCTTTTTAACTATGAAAATTATGGTGAAACTTACACATTACGTTAGTCTGTTATCTCCTGGTCAGAATATACAGCGAGAGCTTTTGTTGTTGAAGTCCTCATCATGACTTTGAGATGAACAATAGCAATACAAGTATTAGTCCTTTACTTATGGTTCATGTTCAAGTGCGTGTAGTTATTTTGTGTCGTGAATAGAAACAGCCTATCGTTTTTTAAGTATACTAGTCTGTCGTTAAAAACATAGGTTTACTTAAAAAAAGTCATATAACTATCTTATATGTGGCTATAGGTCTTTGGTCACTACACAGCTAAAAATACGTTTTTCTAGATAATTGGTTTTTGTTAAATAAATTTCCATCATGAACAATGAAATTGAACATCAGTTTGTTTAGGCTTTTTTTAAATCTTATTTCACAAAATATCATATAGTTAACTTGCATAAATTTGTCACAAATACATCGATATTTGAAGATGTTATTTATTAAGATATCACTTGCAAAATCAAAAAAATATAAACTGCCATATGATACATATTTTAGAACAAACACACAGTCTAGGGGATTTCCAAGATATACAAGAAGCACAACGGGATACAGATATACAGAATACACACTTTCTTCCAAGGAGCAACTTTTTACAATTCTTCCGGCGTAAGAAAGTGTATACTAACTTTAAAACGTGTAAATAAATTATTTATTTGAAAACAATCTTAATTGAAGTGAAAACATGCATATTTCATCTTCAAGTTAAGTACATATCGATTCGAAATACAACATCTAAATATAGTAAACACAAATTAAAACATTTCATTAACAACTTTTCTATACTCTATGCGATTTGATGTTTCACATATTATGACACTAGTCTATTGTAGTAGAGCATATGTTTTTCCTCAAGGTATCTTCATGTGCGTGTTGTGAGTTACTGTATCAAAGACGTATTACCCACTTCTCCATTTTACATGAACCAACTGAGTTAATCGTTCAAAATTGTGTGTGTGATTTATAGAGTATTATTATGTAAACATGGTGCATAGGAAAAAAAGATTCCAAGTCCAGGTCGTATCAGATGATGATTAAATAGACAATGCAAAAACTTAGAGAAGACAATTCATACAGCTGTGATAATTTTACATACCCCGAGTTACTTTATCTATATATAATGCATATAAACCTTGCAATCCGTTTTTTGCTAAACAAGATTGTATTCAAAAAGTCGAACCATTTACCAATTTCATTGAAAAATTGTTTTAAGTAAAAGAAAATTTCAAAATTTTATTGATTATTTACATGTAGCTTTTTCTTTTGGGGTTCCTTCTTTCGATAACCATTGATATATGGATTGCTGTCTAAAAAAGGTTTATGTAGGCTGATGTAGATAAAAGCTATAAACCGTAGTATTCAGAAATGTAATTAAGATAGACATATGAAATTTTTTTGTGAATTTGTGAATATCATCACCATTTTATTTAATGTAGAGTAATAGTAGTTGCAATGATAATTATCATCTGTATGTGTTGCTCTGTATACAACGATAGGAAACAACATAAGATGAGACTAAGAAATAGAAGACGTAGACAACAATCAAGAGCCTTACAACTAACAAATGAACAACAACATTATCGCATTATAGGTAAGAGTTAAAAAGATAACATGGAACAGATTTACCCGAGAAAAAAAAACATTACAATGACTCTTCATATCTTGACTAGTCTCTTTGTGGTCACTTAGTTGTCAGATTTTGTATTTGAATATGGTATATTATTTTGTTGTCTTATAGAAGTGTGTCTGGTGTATTAACTAAGCAGACTGGTATTTTTGCTGTCTTTACCTTTTATAAACATATTATTTTTATTTAATATCGTTTATATACTTTATAATGAATGCATTGATGCTTTCACGTTGGTCAAGATGAATGAAGTAAAGAGACATATAGAATAAAGGCATTTTTATTTTCGATACTGACTTTATAAGCAAGAATATCAAGCGAGCCCACAAGGGCGAGATGATAAAGTCAGATTCAACTTAACTGTATGCAGTTTTGATTGGGATTATGAAATAAAAAGAAATAGTTAGTAAAACTATTTTACGCGTACACATCGTGGTGATTGTTGTTCATGATCAGTTGTTTGAATGAAGTCGCGTGCATTTCATTGATAAATTGACGCAGATGGACATGAACCCGTGACGTTGATTCACTGATACATAATGTCACAAGTCCTGTCCATGATCTTGAAAACATTAGGCAGTAAGATCAAATGGAAAATGTACAAATTGCTGATAAAAAGATACCCGACAACCAACAACAAAGTTCGGGGATAAGTCGACTACGTGTGTCTATGCCAAATAGAACACAACAAATAATTTAAAATACAGCTGCAATATAAGGAGGAACAGACGTTTTCACGTCTTGCATTGAATAAATAAAAATTGTTTTATGTTACTTATGCTGTACAGTCCAAATTTATTCGTTCATTGTGTGTTAATTTACGTTTTTTGATTGAGTTAAGCCTTCTAATTGATATTTTATAGTGTGTTTTTCTATGTTGTGATGTTATACTATTGTTTCAGAAAAAGGGAGAAGGTTTGGTACCATTGAAACGTTTAGTCTCGCTGCAAATGTTTGCACCTGTCCTAAGTCAGGAATCTGATTACAGTAGTTGTCGTCTGTTTATGTAGTTCATACGTGTTTCTCGTTTCTCGTTTTTATATAGATTAGACCGTTGGTTTTTCCGTTTGAATGGTTTTACACTAGTAATTTTTGGGGCCCTTTATAGCTTGATGTTCGGTGTGAGCCAATGCTCAGTGTTGACGGCAGTACCTTGACCTATAATGGTTTACTTTTATAAATTGTAACTTGGATGGAGAGTTGTCTCATTGGCACTCATACCACATCTTCCTATATCTACCAATTGAATTAAGGTAATCGTATTCAAACTTTTACTGACTAATAGCATAATAATCATGTTTAAAATTAATGCATATATGGCATCATTTTCCTTACTTTTACCAACAACTTTTATAACATATACACTTTATATATATTCAAGATAAATTGTTTTTCCTCTTACACTGAATGTGTTGAATACCGGAAGTAAAACGATACCATGAGACATTCAAATATCAAAAGTAAATAAAAGGCCATACAAGACCGTTATTGAAATAACAAAAATTCAAAATATTGAATAAAAACTTAAAAAGAAGACATTTCATCAGAAGAACAAACTATCGGTATAATTATCTATGTGCTTCATTTAGGTAAAGATTTTGTATAAAATATGTATACTTGTGAACCTTTTAAAAACCCATTTTCGACAGGTTATTATTTCAAATAATTAACGGAATAACTCAATGAAATAGTACAGAAAAGTCAAGATCAATAACAAAAACAATTCTTACATCAGGTTTGTACTATGTCAATGGGAATGCAGCTGCCGTTGTTGCTTCTCCAAGGACGCAACTGGAGTATGGAGCCGATTGGGAAAGGCTTGTCAATTCTACCCAAAACGGTACAACATCTATACCCACTGATAATCCACCAGCATATGAAAATATCATCAATGGAAACACAGCCGCTATTGATTCATATCATCCAAGGACACACACAAGAGACGACGAGGAAAGGAACACCAATTATATACCAAATAACGGTACTATAACTAATTTACCTGATGATACAAGATATATACCCACTAATAATCCACCACCATACGAAGATATTATGAATTAAAATGCAGCCGCTATTGTTTCGTATAATCCAGACACACACAGGAGACGACGAGGAAAGGCTTGCCAATTATATAGCAAATAACGGTACTGTAACTAATTTGTGAGACGAAACAACATCGACAACAACAATAAATGCCCCAGCATACGAAGATTATATGTATAGAAATAACGAGTGCATACTTTTATATTTTTGCATTTGTACATAGTTTGTCTTATCACCTAGTTTTGTGAGCCATTTACTTGAATAAAATTATCTTTGAACTATAAAACTTTTCTATTTTCTCTTGTATTATATCATAATCATGGCAATCAAAACATAAACACTGTGTATGCTGCCACTATGAATAGTATTGCCATTAAGAAAAAATTTTCAACATATATATATACCGACTTTATCATGCAGAATGGATGATTCAATTAGGGTTCACCCCAAATTCTGTTTTTGTTAATAGTTAATTATTTGTCTTAAACAAAGCTTAAAGAAATGAAGGATTTGACGTTCTGTTTATTTGAATGACTTAGAATTCAGATAGCTGGAAAATCCTTAAATGTACAATGAAATTGAGAATGGCAATGGGGAATGTGTCAAAGAAAAAAAACCCTACCAAAGAGCAGAAAACAGCCGAAGGCCACCAATGGGTCTTCAACACAGCGAGAAAACCCGCACCCGGAGGCGGATTTCAGCTAGCCCCTAAACAAAAATGTGTACTACTTCAATGAAAATGGACGTCACACTAAACTCGAAAACATATAAATGAACTGAAATTAAAAAAAAACATACAAGACTAACAAAGGCCAGACACTCCTGACTTGGGACAGGCGCAAAAATGCGGCGGGGTTAAACATGTTTTATGAGATCTCAACCCTCCCCTATACCTGGAGCCAATGTAGAATAAACAAACACACAGCAATACGCACAGTAAAACTCATTTAAAAAGAAGTTCGACTCCGATGTCAGAATAGGTATCAAAAGAGACTATTATTATTAAGTTAGAAGCAAAATGTCAATGATACATAAATTAACAAAGGACTACTTGCAGTTACTGACATGCCAGCTCCAGACCTCAATTAAACTGATTGATTGATTATGTCTTAATTATATGAAAATCAAGCACAATCCCTCCCTTTAGGGGTTTAGTATCATACCATCATTAAATAAATGAGAAGAACATAACCCGTATCATGTCAACAACTGGTTTTAGAATAAATGTGTTTATTTCCGATGCAAAGACCCTATGAGTGAATCAATATTAATACCAAAATATGGAATCTTTAATGTCCTGTCAACTGCTGTATCGTAACTATATCCCTTCTGAATAAGTCTGTTTAAAGGTTTGGTTAGCTTTTTAGGTGAATGTCGACATTTTTTTTTGCTTTGTACAGAATATTACCGTAAAAGATTGGATGTTTGGATGTGAAATACCTGAACGTATAAGATGTCTGCATGCTGATTTATATTTACGAATGATGTCCTTGTACCGATGATAAAATTAAGCAAATGTTTTGACTAGTTTGTGATATCGAAAACCCTGGTGTGATTATTTTTCAGTAATACAGAGGTTTATTTCGTTAAAATCAAATACGTTGTTACATACACGGGCGAATCGAACAAGTTGAGATATATAAACACCATAAGATGGTGACAAGAGAACGTCACCATCTATAAATGGCTGATTAACAATAGGAAATGAAAAATCGTCTCTTTTATCATAAATTTTGGTTTTAAGCTTCCCGCTAAAGATATAGATATCAAGATCCGGGAAAGGGCAATGTTCATTTTTGGTATTAGCTTTATTCAAAGTCAGTTCAGCAGGATGCCTGTTTCACGATAGCAAGGTTGATTTCAGATGAATTTGGCTATTCTTTTTTATATATATATATAAATCAATTCCATCTCCATGCCTTATATATAATGTACTGTGTTACAACTCTAGATTCTAGAAAGCTGAATTTTAAGTTCAGTCTAGGTTGCCGAGTGGTCTAGAGCACTGGACACAGTGCAGGCGGTGTTGTTTCAATATCCCAATAGCATGAGTTCGAATTCCGACGAGGGAAGAACAAAAATTTGCTTTCGCAAATTTGAAGATTTAATATTGTTGTACTGATATTCATAATCATAAATACAATATGTGTTTTCAGCCGTGTATCACGAGCAATTGGTCGATACCGCTGCTGGGAGACTTTTATGGTATCATCAGTTCAGTAGTCCTTGCGTCGGTACTGAAATGAATATTTACATACTTAATAGTAGAAAAAAATCAGAACTCCCTTAGGCATAACTGACATAAGATTAGTTGACAAGTCTTGTTTAATCCATTTTAGTCATATAGTTCCTCACGCGTTCATGTTTTTATTCATCCTTGGCTTTTACATATTTGGGTTTGAACGTTCCTGATAGTAATAAATCCAGAACAAACCCATTGGATGTTATATCATATTTATACACGTGTTATTTTCATTTTACAGTATGAATACATTATTTTTCGTTTATACATTTATGCAGGACGATTAAAAATCATACAGTCAATCAATTTGGTATGATCTTCATGCGAAATTGGCCAATAGGGACGATATAACTGCAGAAAGGGAATGGTTGGAAGAGTAAAAAAAGAATAATAGTGTTACATTATGACCACGAGTAATGTTCATATGTACTCACTAGTGTGCAAAGAGAGCAGTACTCTCCACATTCAGAATATTGGTCATCACTTCGGATTTAAGACAGTCAAAATGACTCTTTCGATGCGATCTTTCTGGAGGACTGAAGACCTACGATTGATAATACATCTATACCAAAGTCGTACTTTCTGGTGTTTATAGCATGAAGCGATGTTATGGTTAATTTGCTTTTTTAGCTTTTTTTTTAACCTAAAAATCATTTTATTTAATTTTTCATTTCTTTTCAAAATCGACTAATATGATCGTTTGGTTAGTTTGTCATATTTTATTACTTGACTGCAACCCCTTATGTTGTATTTAAATCCTACAATTCTCACACAAAGGAACGACTTATCATTCATTCTATAACTTTTATAATCTATTCATCTTAAGCGGTCTCAACTCATTGATTTTACTATACAGAAAATTCATAGTTATCTTTCAGTTCTCTTAAACAGTTCATGTTGAACGTGTTGTTGAAAAATACTTTAGATAATAATTACATTTAAGTAGAATTTGACAACCTTAAGATTTTAACCAGTGAGTGTAACATATACAGGGGAAATTGGATCTACCTTCTTCAGATGATACATGAACTCTCGTAAACTACATGTTACACATAAAATATCAAGATTACTATTAAAAAATGGCCCAAAAAAGTGTCGTTTTTAAAAAGCAACATTTTATAATTTACGTTAACTAGTCTCGATGTAAGGACGGAGTAATATTTGTAACTGGATGTTAAAAACTATCAATCGAACAAACTATGAAGGAAAGTCATTGGAGTGATAACTTGACTGACTGGAGTAAGGAAAATATTTTACTGGGTTAAGAATATACATGCCTGTATACTGGTTAGGAGAATAACTGTAACACTATTTTTATATCCTTTTGGACGAAGAATATCGTTGTTTTTTTATATTACAATACGACTGGGTTACCATTGCATTTGGTTTACTAAGATTTAATTAAAGTAAATTAAATTCTCAAATTCAGTTAACAAAGGTCCTTTCATTTAAAATATTGCTCTTACATTAAGTTGAAATGGTTGTTTTTTTTATATAAGAAATGACAAGACAGGACAAATTCTGTGACAAGAAAAGCAATGGGATATGCAAAATATCCTGTTGTTCATGATTCACAAGATTCAAAAGACATCAAGTGTTGACGATCGAAGTGAGAGACATGAACACACAGTCGTTTTTGCAGTTGACAAAACACTGCTGCCATATACTTTACAAAATTAGATCACATTATTTTCAGTCGCATAAGGTATCAATGTTCTATACGTACGTAATAGCAGAAAAAGTTGGCGAAAGAACAAAAATATTACCCTGACAAATGAAAGAGAGATAAAAAACAGTAACAGGTCTGAACACACAGTACACATAAGAGAGAGTCGAAAGATACCAAAAATATAGTAAAACGCAGAAGTCAAAAAACGACCTGACAATGACATTGCTAAACACAAACACGACCCTTTTTGGTTGATATATTAGGGGACGACCATTTGATATTCGAAAGAGGAGGAGGGAAAAGGTTTTTCGGATTGACTATTCATTTTTATCTGTTTCTACGCATGCTTATTGTTTTGTGCGGCTTTGTGATTTTCATAACCCACTACTGAGCTTAAAGAAAAAAATTTTCAACGAATTCCTCTTATCAGTTTCTCGATTTACATATCTACTTACTCTGAGCTGAGTTTCATAAAGACATCATGAAGATCATGAAGGTCTATAAGAGAGAGGCGAAAGATACCAGAGGGACATTCAAACTCATAAGCCGAAAATAAACTGACAACGCCATGGCTAAAAAAGAAAAAGACAAACAGACAAACAATAGTACAGAAAACACAACATAGAAAACTAAAGACCGAGAAACACGTACCCCATCAAAAACTGGGGGGTGATCTCAGGTGCTCTGGAAGGGTAAGCAAATCCTGCGCCACATGTGGCACCCGTCGTGTTGCTCATGTAAGTACAAACCCGATAATAAGTCTTATTCGGTAGGTCACGTTCGGGAAAATGGGACTCGATTGTAGTTACGACATTAGGAACATATCCGCTATCATCTGTGAGACAGATATTACATAAGGGTCAACCAACTCGGAATGGCGTCCGTAAAATTTACGAAGGGATGATTTCAACTTCGCCACTTAGATTTATCTAAGGCTGCCGTACCTTTTTCCGTTGATAATTTAGTTCATTTTTGATGGTAAAGTGACACTTCAGGTTTTCCGAACATATTGAACATGATCTTTTTCAGAGATATCATTTTGATATTAAATATATTTTAAGATATCTGCAAAACCGAATTGTCATCCCCATTTTATAGACATTGAAAGATCCGAAATGTCTTGGTGTCATTTAAAAGGTCCACGGTAGTCTTTTGCAATACATTTTTAAAATGTTCATTATGGTTTTCCATCGCTAGATAATTTTCACACGTTAATAAATTGTCCGTGTTTTTATTAAAAAAAATCAGGGATGGCCATGGTCAAGTAATACGTTTATATTTTTCATTTATTCTTATCGTTTAAGATTGATAAACTATAAAGATAGAATATATGTGAAGGGTTATACTATCATCTGCTGGAGTCAGAACGATATTT